ATTTATATTTTTGCTTCCTAGATTTTCAGACAGAACAACCTGCAGAAGACTACAATAGATTCGTTGCTTATATAAAATCTGTATACTTTTTGTAGTATTGTTATTCGTTCTTCATCTACAAACAAAAACTGATTTCTAATTGACTAACGCCTGGCTAGGATTCATCGCAGTTGTTTTAAGCTCATTCTTATACTAAAAGTTTACTGAAAACTTTTAAATGGCAAGCAACTTCATTCTGACAATCTGTTATAGTTCATTCTTGAAGGAATCTCTTTTGAGAACTATTGAATCCTTTTGTTTTTAACCAATATGAATTCGGCCAATTTATACCTGTATGTATGCATTATTTGTAAGATATGCTCGTGTATAACAGAGATACTAAAGTGATTGTGCACATCTCTGATTCAAATATTTAATGTTATTTAGTACAGTATGGTTGATAGTTTTCTACCTTACCGTATTATTATTATTATTATTATTATTATTATTATTATTATTATTGGGATGAAAAGGTCTGTCTACTGTGTTAGTGTAACAATGTAGAAATTAGTAACACACTATTAATGATCAATAATTCGAAACTATATTCGTTAATTATTCGGTTTTTTTTCTCTCTTCAGTTTATTCACTAATCCTAAAATATTACAAATGTATTTTTTGTGTATTAGTTTAATTGATTCATAAGAAGAACATTTTATTGTATCATCCGTCAATCGAGCTATCACGTCTAACTGATGAGTAAGACAATTTTCTTCACCTTTCTACTTTTGGGCTTATTCCATAGTTAAAATGTAGTTTGTAGCTTAGAATGCAATATTTCACTTAGGAATGTATATAATTATCTTGATAATATCTAAGTGTATTTTTACTATGCATAACAATCATATATTAAAATTCTTATTTTTATTTCAGCAAGTATCATTTTCACATCCATAAGTGATTAAAACAAACAAGTGATTTATTACATTCTTTTCTTATCACATTTCCTATTGGATTTTCTTTTAAACTGTATACTTTATTGCCCACCTCCACTTCTTTTTAGTCACTATTTTTTTGTCTCCTTACTTTTCATGTTAGTAACTATTTCATTATTAATATGATTATTATTATCATCATCATTAACAGTATTTTGATTTATGCATTTTATTTTTAAAATTCAGTTTAACTTGAAAGAAACTCATTAGTTTCCGAGTTATAGGAATAAACATTAATGATGATTAATAATTTTCCTTTCTCCCCCCTGCATATATACAAATATGAAATTGTTCTCATTCTACAATCTAAACTGTTCATTAATCATGATTTTCTTTAGAATTCTAAACATTTTTTTGTGTTTTAGAATTTTGTTTTATTAAGGAAACAATTTGTCAATTCAGTTAAGATTTTTCTGAATATTTTTTTTATTTATTTTCATTGTCTTTTCTTTCAAGTATTATAATTTCAATTAGTTTCATCACGGTTTATTAATTCTAATGAAAAGATTTACAAGTTAGTTGTATATTATAGAATTAAATTGTTTATTTCATAATCATAGTAGACCTGGATAAATTTGTTGTTGTTTGGTTATAAATCAGTTCACAATATTTACTTGATTTCAAAATTGATTTTATTGAAATTTCAGGTAAAGTTTCTTTTTTATATAAATTTGAATAAAGAAAGAACAAATAACGAAGCAAACATATTTCACAAAAATTGAGATTAAACGGATGGTGCAACCGCTCATCATTTTCTCGACAATGGGGATGATGTGGAAGTTGAAAATCAATAAACAGAGGAACTTAAAACTGTTACGCTTTGTCAAAACCGTTGCAACAAGATAATTTAAGATTGAGTTTATGTATGCGAAAAGAGAAAGTTATAAATCTTTTTTTGCCCTGGTGATCTTATTTTTGTAAGATTATTACGTAAGACGTTTTCTTTTTTCCTAAACTGCAATCACACTTTTTAAGATTTTTATTCTTCTGAGCTTTACTCAACTATTCTATAATAAATTACCTATCTTTTGCTACGAGAGGAAAAGATTTTCTGTTTCCATGTTGTTCTAGATCATTCACATATTTAATTAATGAGTAAGCGACTGTTTAAACGGTTTTAACTCTTCCGAAATAAGATCTCCACATTTCAACCCAGCTTTTTGTAGGCGTTCCTTATATAAAGTATGTAGACTTGATTTGTTTTAATGACTAAAACTATGGTTTAAAGTTGTAATCAGCTGAAAGGAACCCACGAAATAAATGAATTCATGTTATTCTGCCACAATATCTGTTCTTTCTATATTCATCATTCTTTTGACTTTAACATTATTTGATGCTCATAAATTATGTTTCTAAATTAGAAGATTAATAGATGGTGTCAAAACCGGTCAATTACATGAACTCGATGAACTATGATTATCTCTTCCGCCGTTTATCTGTATTAGTACGTAAAATTGTTAGTTTGTAACATCAAGGCATATGTCTCAGCAAGCGAACAGAAAATTTTAACATCTTATCAGAATGACCTACCCTAGTTAAGTTTATTGTTTTACGCCAGAACAAACAATTATTCTTTATTATCTATCCTAAAACCTAACTTATAACTTTATTCTTTGGCTCATTATCATTACATGATGTTCGACGGATTATGTTTTTCCCCTTACATAGTTAAAAATGGATATTTTAGCATATGAGATTATGTAATTAGATTACTACGTTTTAGTGTCATTTCAGTTTTTTGAAGTTTTATGTAATATAATGGATTGCATCTACAACTAAGTGTGGATGCATATGCTGAATATGTTTTGTTTTTAGTATAGTAAACTTATCGGTCATATATTTTCATTATACTTATAAATCGTACTATTCCTATTTAGTCAACTATGCACATATCAACTGTTAAATAATGTTTTCACTTATCCATCTTCATTTATTCTGGTTATTTTAGATGTATTAAAATTAAAGTATTTTTAATGTTGGTCATAATCAACCATACCCTATTTCAATACTGATATTTTTAACTGATACTTTTGTTTCTTTGTGACTTCATAATCAGTATTGAACTCGTTTATGATTACCTTTAGAAACCTGAAAAGTTCTTGCGCTAAAATCGACCATCTTCATGCCTCTCCTTTAATTACCTAGCGTCTAGATTTTATCGTGTTTCTTTCATGGAAGCTACTATTTTGTGACTTCTATACAATTTGTAAAAAAGTACTATAGTAATGAACGTATTTATTTATTTGATTTGTGAATTTCAATAATATGATACTATTTGTTATTGAAATAAACCTTTCATTTTTGAGAAAGCAAATTTTCGTCATTCATCTATATTTGTCCTTGGATAAGTCAAATTAATTTATCTAATCTGATTCGACTTATCAGTTAGTAAGATAAACATGAGTTTCATTTCAAGCCTTTGAACAATTAGACATTAGATAATATGCTTGAATATTATATCATTATGTGGCAAAAAAACAAAGTTCACCATGAAATTACATTATATTACACAGGTTAAATTTAAACATTATATGAAGATGTTTTAATAAATACAATAGTGTTTACGTTGCATCTATCGTAGGATTTTTTAAATTTATGATTCAGAAGTCCGGTTAATTGTTTCATTGTGATCATTTGTATTCAATCGTGAAAACTGCTTACTTTTTTCATTTCAAATAGCTTTATTTCAGATTTATAACACACAGATGCAAACAGATATTCATTCTAGGTAAGACATATTCTCACATACACTAACTGTTCTAAACCGAATAACATTAGCGAAATCAAGATCAAGTGTAGTCCGTTGGAAATGTTGATTGTTGTCAGAAGTTTACACTCAATTCATTTGATTAATTATAATTCTTTAACATCATGTTGTTTTAAATTCATTTGGTATTTTTAATTGAATCTTCCCATTGATGTTTAGACTGCAAATGATCAACTCCTACTGACATATGTGCAAACTGTGCGTATTACCTTCATATCGCCCTAATTCACCAGCATTATAAGCAAAGACGGATATTGATTAGCAGCGGATTCCAGGACGCGCGTTTCACCTCGTTTGGGAATCATCAGCTGGATGTACCTGCATCTCATATTTGATGTTCACTGTGGGACTCGAACCCAGTACTGTTCGCAATTGATCAACTGCAGTCCTAAAACTTAATGGGACGATTCAAGTAAACAATATCAAGTGAATTGAAACTTCACTCCATTGCACAGGCAATTGGGTATCAGAACTCAGTAGCTAAATGAATAACTCGATGGCTTTTGAAACGAAGGGTACTGTGTTCGAGTCTTAGAGTGAACATCAACTCTGAGATGTAGATACATTCAACTGACAAGTCCCAGATAGAACGAAACGTGCGTTCTCGATTCTCCTGCCAGTCACTATCCATCATCTCATTTTATTGATACATTATTTATTGTGTATTACTACAAAGTAAGAATGTACAATCACAAAATCCATCCTAAAACGTTATTAGCTACTAATTGTGATCTTTGAATGATAAATATATATACATCTCTGTCGTTATCACTGAGAGCTAATGTCCAGCTGATATTACATTTCTTTATAAAATTCTGTCAAATCCGATTTTAATTACGTGTAAAAAAATAGAATGCATCGTGTAGTTAATTTTCAAATAAGTGAGACATTCTATAAAATAATTTCAATTTGATGGTTGTGCATTCATTGGTTATAATTTTACTTACAGAGTGTATTCTTCGATATGCATTTCATTTGACTAAGAATCTGTTTAAAGAGTTGATGTTAATGTTTACTTGAGAGTAGTGAGTAGTTTGTACACGTTTTTAAAAACGTTTTTCGATCAATTGTTGTTCATTATCATTTATGAAGTCTCTTTCTTAATTTAGCTTATAACTTATTGTAGAAAAGATGACTTCTATTAAAATGTTTTGGTAAACATTATTAATGTGTTTTCAATAAAAGAAATAGAAGTATACACACTTTCTTACATCTAGATAAACTGATCGCATAATATATGCTTTTATTTTACTGAATAGATTTCCAAAGAGACCATCAATAGAAATGGGTCATATAGAAGAGCATAATAAACGTACATCTATGTCAAAAAAATATTTAAACAATTCTACATTCAACCATAATTTAACAAGAACAAAATTACTAAGTAATTTACAGGAATTTCATTGTTCACGATTATCTCAACTGTATAATAGTGTAGGATCTGAAAATTTGAAAAATGATAGATTCTTGAAGAAAGATGACAGTTCACGCGATCCTTTCCCAAATCTCCGTAATTTTTGTCAGAAACAAACTACTTCAAATCATCCAATTAGTGAGTCTACAGTATCTTCAGCTGCAGTGCTTCGTCCTCCACATCCACCTCAAAGAACTACTTCCTTAGCCAGAGATCATCAGCCTTCCAGGACAAATGAAATTAATAGTACAGATACATCATGTTCTTCGCGTAGTAGTCCATCTCGTAATGTAAACAGCTCTACACAAGATGCAGACAGTCAAGTATGTTTAAAATAGTTGATGTTTGTTAAGTATTACATAATCACTTTTATGAACGTCATTTAATACCCAATTCACTTTCAGAAATGTTTTTCACATAATTTTTGCTACAATGACTTATCCCATATTTGTTCATTAGTGTAAATTGACTTATTTTTTCACTGGAAAATTTAAATAACGAGCAGTTTCATTGACGAATAATCCTTCAAACGACATCTGACTTAATTGTTCAAGATTAAACTGCTATTTCATTTTCGGATGAGTGTTGAAGTAATGTGCAAGACTTTTTTCTCAGGTGGTTGCTTTTGGTGATATTGCGTTTCTTGAGTTGAATAACCTAAATATCTAGTAATTAGTATCATTTTGGATAACAACAAGGTTAAGTCAGTTCATTCACACAACCTTATTCATGAATGGTTGTCTTCGTAGTTTTTGTTATCCTTTTTTGTCTTTGTCTTTTGGATGGATAATGTATTTGGTTCACCGTTGAGTATATATCTGACTAATCTCTAAATGAATTGAATGGGTGTTTGTTTCATGTAACTTATAAAATATTTAAGTAATATATATTAATATCTAACCAAACAAATATATGCATTGTAAACTTCATTTTACTGTAAAAAGCTATGACTTCAATTAGAATTTCTTAAGTGAAGATCCTAAAAAGGTAGGGACAATTAATTCTGAATTTTATACAAATAAAACTAGTCATATCTTTTTCTATAAATAACTTTCCTTTAATCAGCCATGTACAGTGTGCCAACTGGTATGAATGTATCTTGGCTTAGGTTGTCACGCTTCTAGTTTTGCACATTGAGAGAAGGAAATAGGAAGTTAGCTAATTAAAAACGTGTTTAAGGACATAATATTCAGCCCCATAAAAAGCTAAACACGACCAGTAAACTTCAAAAGGAATTAATGTGACCGAAATTTTAGAACTATGGAATAATAATGAACTCGAAACTTAGGTATATAATGAATGCGTTTGAGCTACTTTGAATGATTTTAAGTTGTGTCACTCAACAATTCAGACGACTATCAAGGAAGTAATTTATTTCAAGATAACCAACTTTATTCAGTATACGTATTTAAAAAGCCATTTTTGGTTAGGACGCTAGCATAAGTTATTTAAAACATGAATTTTAAAGGATGATTCTTATCCATCGGAATATAAACATTATTTACTAGAACCACATTAAGATCAACAATGGACAATCAGGTAGTTAAATATATTAAGAATCCTACTTGCCCCGAAAATCCCATAAACTCGCAATTTACAAAATCATAACGTATATACAAAAAGCTTCAGTGAAACTGTGGTATGAGGGTGTCGGTATGTATGTTTAATAATTGGAAATGCCACAGAGTAATGCTTACTTATTTTGTCATATTCCTGATATATGTAACAGTTGGAAATTCATTAAAAAAATCAAAATAAAATCTAACAATTGATGGCTGTAATGAACCGATTCTTTCAGTTTAATAACTGAATGTAAAGTATTAAGCCTCAGTTGTCACCTAAATTCTTGCTATACCTTTAATTTATCTGATTAAATAAACTGAACATTTGGTCTGTGAAATATTTCGCACACACTTTTTTTAAATAAAAATTCTGTCATGAATGTTTGGTGATAAAAAGGTGAACATATATAAATCGATCAGTGTACTCACTTTTATACACATTCATGGTAATTGTGTTATTCAGACTTGAACTGATTTACTGAACCTATTATGTTAATTCTTGTTGAGTAACCTTATTTAAATGTGCTAAATATAAGCAAGAATAAACTCTAAATGACTTTTAAAAATCTCAAAATGATACATTCATTATCATTTATTGACAATTATTGGGTATTATTCATTACGTTAATGAATGTTTTAATGAGTAAGTAAATTCAATATTTTAAAAGAATTTGTAGTAGATTTGGTTTAGTTTTCGATTTTTCTTTCTTTACAGGTATGCTCCACTACAATTTGTGGATTATCTAATCCAAATAGATTTTCTCATTGTAAACCATTAGATAATAATATGAATAATCATTTACCTGATAAACTAATTGATAAAGAAGTTAGTGATCTAAATTCTTCACAGAATGACACAGTATGGTGGTCACATTTATTGCCTTATAAACCATCAAATTTACCTAGTAATTTAGCTGATCGTTTAAGGCAAAGAAATAGTTTATTACTGTCGAGAAGTTCACCAACAACTCGATTATCTAATAGTTCACTACCAAATTCTTTTCCATTTAACAATAATAGTAAATCAAGTAATAATAGTAATCTTCAAAATATAATGATACAATCAATGTATGAACATAGTGATTCCGGTGATTATACTGGGTTGCGATCCGATGTAACATCTTTGTATTGTGTACAAAATAAGCATGTTGATGATATACGATTAAGACAATCAAGACCTATAAGTATGCATACAGATTATTCACAATATAATAATAATAATAATAATTCTTTCTTTCTACCGTCGTTGACACATTTCAATACAACAATTAATTCAAATGCTGTAACTCATTCATCACCGTTAGCCTCATCTTCGTCTTCAATATCATCGTTACAGCAACAACAACAACAACAACAAACACCAAAACGACCATCTAGTCTTTCGTTAGCTTCATCTTTTACAAATGTTATTCCTAAATTAGATAACTTGATCAAAACAAATAAATTACGTGAAACATTGAATTCATCAAAGTCAATGTCATCATCATTATCTTCATCTACTTCTGCTACTATTACTACGAATAATTCACAATTACTATTTCAAAATAATATATGTAATATTATTCCAGATTATTTATTAAAATCATGTCCACCTAGTGATAGTCCATTACTTGGACAATATTGTCGTTTATTGTTACTTCGAGCAAATGATGATCATGATGATACTGTTGCTACTATTGATCATATAAATGCTGTGGATATAGAAGATAATAACAATATTTCAACACTTATTGACTATTCTGTGAAACTTACACCTACTGCTGAGACACCAGCTACGCCTGTTTAATATTTATATATATGCTTTCCTCATGTCTTTCAAATAATAGCATCGAAACTGATTGTATTCATTTATGAAAAATAGTTTTTATTTCGTAGCTTCTTCAAAAAATATAAAAACAAAAGATCATCATAGCCAGGTAGATAAATTTCTTTTGGTATATCTATATCAGATTTATACCCTTTCTAATAGTTTCTTTTCGTTTCGATCCATTTTTAAATATGTTATTATTTACAAATTTGTCTACATTGAATTTTTAAAATAAAGTAAAAAACACGATTCCAATAAATATCAGTGTTTGTTAGACACATGTAAAATCTATATTTTATAGCAATTTATAACAAACAGTGATATCGAAATCATACACATTGATAAACAGTAAGAAATAAAAGTGACCTTCTTTCTTTTCGAATGTCATTTCTTCTTGGATAATAAAATTTGTAAAAAAAATTACATTTAATTATTTTCATAGTTGAAAGCGTGAGTCAATTGAATCTAGACCACCATGGAAAACCTGGGAGCATTGGACGGCCGTTTCATCCTATTATGGGACTCCTCAGGTTTTCCATAGTGGTCTAGCTTCAATTGACTCACGCTTTCAACTATGAAAATACTAAATCTCCACAAAACCCCTTCTGATAATTTAATTATTTATTCAAATAAAATATTCTTGAATTTTTATCAAAGAAAAAGAAGATGACAAAGACGACATTGAAGAATAATTCTTCACTCAAGTATTCATTAAATATTTTTTATTTATTAAATTTTGAATAGAATGTTATTGACTTTGTTTAATTTCGATATTCTTACTACTATTTCAATATCATTTATTGTTTATTTCGTTTATTTTCTAATTTGTATATAACTAGATGTGTAATATATCTATGTAAATAGTCTTTATATTCATCTATCAAATATCTAATTCATGATCAGGTGTATTGTTAAATAAACAATTCACTTTCGTTATTTCATTATTATTTCTATAATATAAGAAATCTTTACAGCTTCTTTTTTAATGTAAACTAATTGAATCAATAAATGAACAAAGATTTTAAGCATTATTTATTTTATTTCATTATATTTATGATAATAATTGTTGTAAACATTAGCAAATGAAATCATGGGTAGGTCATTTTCCCTTGATCTTTATCATTATTTCATAAATAAATGTACACAAACATATCAAGTCTTCGTATTTATATAGTTGTCTTATATGTGTAATATGAAAATTGATTAAGAGACACTTTAGTAAAATATTCCACTGAAACTGATTGTAATGTTAGTTATATTACAGTTTGTTTAAAGATTTCAAAATCAAATTGGAAAAGCTGAATATCTCCTAAAGATACATTTCATGGAGTGTACTTTCATATTTTTTTACTATTTAGGTTAGTCTTAGGCAGGAAAGAATACATCGATTCTTATGAAATAGCATAGCTAGGATGACTAAGTTGAGTACATACACAGGATTTTCATCATTATTCACGCTTTTTTTAAACATGTTTTTGAATACGTTCGATAGTCTAAAGCCAACATTTAAATTTAGTTGACGTGAGATAAATATAAAACTTTGTATGGCGCAATCGATCTGGTAATGGATTTCAATACTGTAATGATTTTATCGTCTACTGTGTAGATTTAGAGTGCACGTTGGATTGAACGTTAGGAAAAATCAGTTACAAAAGTTACTGCAAGCAACTTTTCGCAATAATATAATGATCACATAAAAGAAAATACGGGTCAAAATGTCGACGTTAAGTTATAACTTTAACCTAGTATTGGTCGGTGAAAAAGGTTGTTATTACTTTGATGGACACTTACAATCACGCCTGGCTATTCAGTGTAAGGCAAGCGTAGTGCACTTTGACAAAAGACCGCTACACCAGGTGCAAGTAGGTCGCTTTTAATTTGTCAATGTTGATAATATTTCTCTTGCAGTAAAAGATTGTTTTTAGAAGTCAGTCGTAAGTAGTTCTAAGAAGTTAACTTATTACACTATTCAACTCCAAGCACTATCACTTATAAAGTTTATAGGCCAACCAAAGTAAGATTAAAATAAGCTCGACTAGATCCATTGTAATTGCAAATCTGTTTACGAGCCCTACAGAGTTAAACAGCTTCTTGAGTTGGTACCTTGTCCTCACAGTGTAACTTCAAACTGCTAACAAAGGCACTCTTGACAGAATTCTGTTGTCTTTGCGAAGAGAGAACTGGTGCCTTTTCTAGCATTGGGTCGTTAGTCACTACGTCTGTGATATAATGGCAGTGGTTTCTATTAATGAGGTAAGTTATTGTTACACTGTGATTTTGTTGTGAAAAAAATACCAAGTTATTAGGTGCCTTGCTTTAGAATAGATGCCAGAATCTTTAGTACTGGTTGGAACATTTTCCAGAAGTTGACAAAAATTGAGTATGAACCCAAGATGTCAACTTTTCGAGTAGTACACTAGTTCATGTTATGTGGTCGTGGACTTCAATATGCTTCCTTGGTCGTTGAAAGTGTGAAAAAAAGGATTATCAAAACTGTATAATAACCTTATTGATTACTGTTTCTAAGACAGATATCTGCCTGACAGACGTTGTGTCACTAACCTGGTGACAGCTTGATGTTAGTGAACCCAATCAATGAAATGTGAGTGTCCTATGTAAGATACACTGGGAATTTTCTAGTATATCCGATAAAGAAAATCACTGACTACTTTGTCGGAAACTGAAGTAATTGATATCAGTATATGATTACCTTTTTGGCTACAGGATTACCTGGAAAATATATTGAGAGACAATAGCTACTTATTTGTATTTTCAGGTCAGTTTATCATTTAAACTGAGTACCAGAGAGCATGTTCGTAGAGAAATATGCGGTTAATATAAGGACAAACACTTTGTACATTAGTACACGGTTTATTTATTATTTCAATTTTATAGTCACAAATGCTAAACGTTTTTTTCCAGTCTCCATGTATTAATCCATTTTCATACATCATATTAAGTTTTGAACAGATCTGCGAACTTTTACGTTAAATACACTCAATCGTCAAACTTATCTTTTTATCAAATTCCATATGTATCGTTCACCAACGACTTACTCAATTTTCCCTCTCTTCAAACAAGGATATATCACGATGACGTTAGGATTCAGGGCCTAAATCATAATTTCACACGAATACCAATAATTCTGAATGTGGAGTGAAAAAAACAGAGATAAGATTGTTAAATATCGTGATTTCTGCAAACATGGTCTAATAACCGTAACTTCGGAACCATAACAGCGAACACGTTTGGTAGATTCATTTTGTACTTACAGGACTACAGCGAAAGACTCCCCATTAGGTAAATCAATATGGAAAGGCTTCTTTACTGTAATTCTGTGTGAGCTTATTCTAGTTTCTTAACTAGCAGTTTATCTTGATTTCATTTGTTATTTCTGTACGCTTGTGTATCTAACTTATTTAATATATATTTACATGGTAGTACGTTTGCTTCCATCTACTTACTTTAATTTTTTACATGCTTGTAAAAACTGAATCCCTTTAACATTTTGAGGCTCCAGAAATTTAAATATCTGATGAGTCTCTTATGGTTTATCAGCCCCGTTAATATTCGCGTTCATGAAATATGCGTCCCTAAAATACTCATATTTGACTTTTATATCCACGTTGTATTAACGTGATCAGCCTGTAAATTGTATGCGAAGTAAACTAGTTCTATATCTCATTAACAGTCATCGTTATCATTAGTGAAGTCAATATGGTATGACGGACTTATCATCATGGCATTTTTTGATCATGACCAGTTTGACAAACTATACGACAACTGGCTATAACACTTTCGAATAAGAGATATGTTTAGCACGATAGAATATTTTGAATGTGGTGCGGTGTCGTTTTTGTGACACTACTAGAGACTGAACATCTGTCTAGATTAAAGTTAGGCTGAACTGAAGTGTCTGCTGTGATTAGTGAACAGAACATATTGCTCAAAAACATGTATCTAGCTTTTAAACGAATTGTAACAAGGATGTAGATGGGAAAAATGGAGTATCGTGAATCTCATGGAATATACAGAATGTACTGTATGAATATGTACAAACTCAGATAATAAAACGGGATAATCACGAAGCAAATAATTTCTGTAAAATAATTATAGTTCGTCTGGTTAACCCTGGTCTATCAGGATAATCCGGTAAGTTTTTCGAGCCAGAGTGACAAAATATCAGTTGGAAATAACAATTTGTCATCATTATGTCCTGATTCCCCATTTGAGATAGGGCAGCTGAGTGGATCTTTGGAAGTAAGATTACCAGTAGTCATTCATAATCAACTGTGTTACTGATTAAATAGGTCACTAAGTATTGTTGAGCGTTGGAAATATATGGGTGACAGGAAAAACAGATGGATCTCCTATATTAAACTCTGTATGCTAGTGAGCATATAAATGTTAAAGTCTTAAAATGACCGTTTTGCAAGGCACATTTATACTTGTAAATTAAGATAGAAATACCCATATTTTCTCGCCTGAAGTAGGCACTTTTTAACCTCCATGGTGCTGAATGACAGGTGGTATATGATCATCGTGTAATCTTCCACGATCCGTTGTATATTAGTAGATGACTAATTTATCTCAGCAATAAACGCGATCTTGTAGGGAATCACGTCAGAGCAGGATAAGGAAAGGTCTACTCTAAAGTACACACACAAGTTACCATGGCGTGGTTTACAAGCTAGTGTTTGCTAACGGAACATATGGTGATGGTACATCCCGGTCGTTCTCTCCATGGCCTGCTATTTAAATCAAGTCCTATCGTATGAAAAAGCCGAAG